AATTTAGTCTCAAAAAACAAAAAAAAAAAATGGTACAATCGAAGTTACGAAGATTTAGTTTGTTTTCAATCAGAAGATAATTTAATCGTAAATATGCATAAGTAAATTGGACTGATTATTTGATTGATAACAAGTAAATGAGTCATATTTAGCAAAATTGAACAGTTTAACTTCAAATTTTAAATTCGTTTATATTTCATTCATTCAATTCCAGTTTTAATCGATATATCTATCCGTTGATTGTTATCGTAAATGAATTTAATTTAGGTTCATCCACAAATTAATTCCTCGAATCATGCATCGAAATTAATAAATTATTTCAAAAATATGTCAGCCTATTCATCAACATTGGTAATTGTTGCTATTTCGAATACAAGAAATGAATTGAAATGTTGGGAATGCTATTGAATAGAATTACTTTTTACTTACTTTTTACTTTTTCAAAAATTCCAAATATATTTTAGAGCTTTTACTAAGAGTTTCATTGTATTAATTTTATCAATTCTGGGATAGAATAGTGTTAATTATAGTAATTAACAAAAATTATAATTGTATACGTATCTTCTTCTGTCTTGTCTACATTTTTTTTTTTTTCTGCCAAAAATTTCATCAATTTACTCAAAAAATAAACAAAAAAAATGAAAGAAAAAAGAAAAATGTTTGAGCTAATCTGCTAATAAAATTAATCGAATTTGAAAATTCAGTTTGTCATCTATGTGATAGCTTATCACCTATGTGACAGCTTATCACCTATGTGATATCATGCAGTAATCTAACCTAACACTCATACCATTATTTTTTTTTTTTATAAAAGTTTTCAAAGGATCTTTGAGTTAATTGAAAAATTAATTTTCATCAATTCTCGCCTTCCCATTCTTTGTACTTTCATAAATTTAATTATTAATAAATTATCGATCAAATTCCATAGCAAACTTATTGGTTGTATTTTATAAAAGGTTATGAATTTTCTCAAATTCTTTTATATAATTTCTTTGAACTATTGAATTTTAGAAAAAGAAATTAATTTCTTGCAAAAATATTAATTATTAATCGTTATCATTGGAGTTTATTATCTGTTGTTAAAATGGCAATTATAAAATTAAATTTAAAATATTGCAAGATATTAATAATAGTGGAATTTTTAATGAGAACATTTTACTTCTATAATTATTGACTTTTTTTTTTTTTGTTTAGGCGCAATTAGAAAGTTTTTTGTTTCCATAATATTTGATTTTAAATAATATGTAATATTCAATACTTAATTATGATTCTATACAATTTCATGTCTTTCATTTAATAATTATGTAATTAATAATCAGGGTGTATTTGATTTGTATGCTTTGACTACATTTTTTAAACATATCTATGACATTCTTCTTGTAATAATTTCAATAGATGACATGTCATGTCATCGTTGTTCATTAATTTCTTATAAGAGTAAATTTCTGAATACTAATTGTCGGTCGTTATCATTGAAATTTTTTATTTGTTGTTAAAATGACAATCATAAAATTAGTTTAAAACATAATTTGATTGGAAGATATTAATAATGGTCTCAGATTTTATTTCCATTTTATTTAAATATTCTACTAGTTATTAGCTTATCAATTTGATTGCTATCCTGAAATTATTTTGTGGGAACGGATACCTGATCAGGTCAAATATCAAGTAAAGTATCGCTACAGGATCATTAATAGATAACATAATGTAGTCAAAGTACACTTGTCAAAATTATAAAATTTATAAATTGTGCTTAAATTTCACAGTTCTTTCAATTACATTGCATTAAACTGATTTATTCCGGTATTCTGTCAGTATTCCGGTTTTCATGTCAGTATTCCAGCACTATATCAATATATTATTATGCTTCATGTTTCATTTTTTTCAGTAAATGAACCTGTTTTTATACGACTAATTGTTCATGCAAAAATTTCCTTCCAATAAATTACGAGACGTGAAAATGTCACTGTAACGAAGTGCTAATTGACGAATGTGTCACAATAGATTTGACATGCTAGACTTTCTTTTTTTTGATCACTAAAATATGAAATTAATTTAGTCATTCGATTAATTATCTATTCTACTTTCAAGTAATATTTCGAAAAAAAAAAAGTAGAAAGATCTATTCTGAGAATTTTAATGATATTGATCTGGTTTCTTTAACTGATTTTTAAGAGGCGCAGTTTCACTGGATGGCGCTAATGTATTTGTATTAGTTGATGTGGTTTCATATGATTCAGATTCGTAAGCTGATTTTGTTGATCTGAAATAAAAGTAAAGATGAAAGTTTGAAAAATTTTGCAATATGTAAATTTTTTAAAAAAAATATATATATTATGAAAGAAAAAATTCTACCAAAAAGTATTACTGTATAAATTTTTACATGGGTATCTGTATCATAGATAATGGAATATATTATGAAAGAAAAAAATTCTACCAAAGAGTATTACTGTATAAATTTTTACATAGGTATCTGTATCACAGATAATGGAATATATTATGAAAGAAGAAATTCTACCAAAGAGTATTACTGTATAAATTTTTACATA